GTCAGATCACAGAGCCAAAACTAACGCGCATGTGGGGAGCCCTTGGGACTGTTCACGTAAACCTGTCCTCTTTCCTCTCCCTCTCTTTCCAGATTAACATTGTGTTTCAGCTGAACTCAAGCACAACTACGAGACTTGCTCAGGCCAATGAAGTGGAAGTGGAGGAGTTCTTTCTCAGAAGTTCCAGGAGCCAGGGTGTGTGCTGCTGCCTCTCCCATTTCTCCAGCTCATGTAGATGTTCTCCCAGTGGCTCACGTGGCACTCTGGTGTGGCCCTGGCTACGCTGCAGGTGCGCTGTTGTCTCCTTTACCGGTCAGAGCCCAATGGGGCCACATTCTGTGTCGCTGGCTTCTGAGCTTCCAACACAGAGTTGGGGACACTAGGGGTGCAACGAGCATGCTCACTTGAATGAATTGTCTGTAGCAAAGGTCCCCAAAGTGCTACTCTGCAGGACCAACTCCAAGTGACCAAGAAGGTCGGCTCACGTCAGACCCTGCATTCTTGTGGGGTGAACACAGGCGAATACCGTGTTTCCAGTAACCTTATCCCTGGGCCTCTGCCAGGTGGTCTGGCACCTGAGGCGTCTGCTCAGCTGGCTAGCAGGGTTTGTCTCACCCTGCACAGACCTCAGCAGTAAATCAGCAGGTCCGAGGAATTTACCCCAGAGAACCATCCAGCAGTGGCATGAATGAGTAATTTACAAAGCCCATTAAGGCAGTGCAGAATTACTTATTTATGGGAACTTTTTGACAGATCTGCGGCTTAATCATTTATCCCTGTGAACATTTAGCCAGGGTCATTGGTAAATAATTCACTTATTACACACTCTGGAGTGGTTTATGGTACTGTGACTTATGATCTCACATGAGTACGCAGCCAGGGGATTGGAATGTGAAGGCCAGGGAAGGGAGGGGAGGCTGAGGCCTCCGGATGCCCGAGGCGGGTGTCCAGCTCCAGCAAGAAGGGCCTCCACTTTCGGGAGGATTGATGGCATCGTATAAGAGGACTTTTGTACCTGGTCTAACCTGTGACAGTGAGGGGAGGAAGCAGATGTTCAAAGACTGATCTGAAAATGGTAGGTCTTGAAGTGGGCGTTTGATGCTGCTTGAGAGGCTCCCATCCCATTCTGCAGTGTCTGGGTTTGCTCAGCCCATAGTGCAGTGCCTGGCTCCCCTCCTGATTCCAGTTTCCTACTAATGTGAACCTTGGGAGACAGCGGGTGATGGCTCAAGTACTTGGGGCCCTGCAACCCACCCAGTAGATGGCTCCTAGCTCCTGGCTTGGCAATTGCAGCATTTTTGGAGTGAACTAGTAGATGAGACCTCTCTGTCTCTCTCTTTCCACCTTTAAAATGAATATAATAACTTAGAAAATAATGCTAGGTCTGAGTTCAGGCAGAGTGAAGACAAACTCCAGCTTCACTGGCTCTGCAGGCTGGTGGAGAGTCTGACATTTAAGACCCTCTAAGAACAGTTCCCAGTTTCTTCCCAGCCTTACCATTCCTTACTTATCCAGCACCAGTCACTGAGACCCCCGACTTGGCATGTCCAGCCCTCTCCCCAAGCATCTGCTGCCTGCATTCCTCCTGCCTTCTTCACCCTTCTCTTCTCTTGTCTGTCTGCTCCTTAATAGTGAACTTTCAGCACAAAGCCCACCTCCTGTACAAAGCCCTCCTGCACTGCCCTCGCTTCCATGCTGGTCCCTCTGTTCAGCTCTCAAGAGCTTCCAGAGTTCCAGGCACACATTCACCATGTGGCACACGCCAACAATTAAGCATGAGGCACACATCAACACTTAGCCTCCCCAGCAAGGCGAGGTGTTCCCCCCGGCGAGGGCAAGGGCTTCCCTGAACACGGCCCCACTCTTGACAGCCCAGAGCCTGTCCCACAGTGAGGCAAGTAAATGCAGGCTGCTGTTGAAATGATGGTGACAACGATGCTAATGGTAATGAAGACAGCTGTCAGGCCGACTCCTCTCTCCCATGTCTTCCCAGATCTCAAAGACAGTGAATGCCTGGGTCATGTCTTGAAGGTTCTTTGAGGTTCTAATGGATACTCTAAGCAGATAGAAGAACTTACATGGGGCTGGAGGAGGAGTGATTTGGGGCAGGTTCACTACAGAGGACTAGGGCATTCAACAGCGAGAGCCAAGCTGGGCTCTCTCATTGCAGATTCTCTCCAAGCCACGGCTATCCCACCCATAACCTTCCAGGAAGACCCTGTGGATTCCAAATGTGCTTCCCAGAGTCCAGGCCTTAGGGGGATTAGCTTGGCTTTCTGAGGTTGAGACCAGCTAAATAAGGTCTTCTTAGTGTCAACACTGGCTGTTGCCCATCGACTTAAGCCAGATGTTTTTGCCTGTTTTCAGCTCTCCGGTGGGAAAAGATGAGATAGCGTGCCATCTCCCATCTTTGGCCTAATGCTTCTTGCTTATCAGGAAGTTCTTTCCCAAATCTAGCTTCAGGTGGTCAAGCTGAGGGCCTAGGATATTCAGCAGTTTGTTCCCTATGGAGGGAAAGTATGGGTCTGCCTGAGATGAGTTGGGAGATGAGAAAGGATGAAGGCAGCATTGGCCCAAACACAGGGCTCTCTTTCCTCTAAGAAACTCCTCTAGGCCTTAGGAAACTTTATTAAAAGACATTTTTTAAATAGAAGTTTGCTAGATTTTTATTTATTTAAGATTTTATTTATTTATTTGAAAGTCAGAGTTACATAGAGAGAGAAGAAAAGGCAGAGAGAGAGAGAGAGAGAGAGAGAGAGAGAGAGAGGTCTTCCATCTGCTGGTTCACTCCCCAGATGGCTGCAACATCCAGAGCTGTGCTGATCTGAAGCCAGGAGCCAGGAGCGTCTTCCGGGTCTGCCATGTGGGAGCAGGGGCCCAAGGACTAGGGCCATCTTCTACTGCTTTCCCAGGCCATAGCAGAGAGCTAGATTGGAAATGGAGCAGCTGGGACTCAAACTGGCATCCATATGGGATGCCGGTACTGCAGGCAGCGGCTTTATCCATTACGCCACAGTGCAGGGCCCTGGTTTGCTCAAATTTTTAAAAAAGATTTGTTTAATTAGCTATTTGAAAGGCAGAGTGACAGAGAAAAAGGGAGAGAAGTGGAGAGAGAGGGAAAGAGAGAAATATCTTCTATCCATTGGTTCACTCCCCAAAAGGCCCCAATAGCTAGGTCGAATCCAGCCAGAAGCCAAGAGCCTGGAGCTGCCTCTGAGTCTCCCACATAAGTAGCAGGGGCCCAAGCACTTGGGCCATCTTCTGCTGCTTTCCCAGGTGCATTGCAGGAAGCTGAATCAGAAGCGGAGCAGCCAGACTCAAACCACCACCTGGAAAAGGGGTACAGGTATGGCAAGACCCTGGTAGGTCTCTAGTCACTGACTGCAGTGGCGGGAGTCCTGTGACTTGTTACCATTTCATACATCTCTATGTGTTCCTATACCAAGCATGTCAAGTAGGTATCCTTGTGTGCTTCCATTATGGGCTGAATTGTGTCTGCCCTAAATCTCTGAGTTGAAGTATTAACCCCCAGTGAGACTATACTTGGAGATAAGATTTAAAAAAATAAATACTTGTGCTGTTAATTTGAAAGACAGAGCAATAGGGAGAGACGGAAATGTCGCTCCCCCTCTTCGTGGAGGAACGACACTAAACCCTGCCTAGGCTTCATATCCGAGTCACGGCACCATTATGTCGCTCCCCGTCTTCATGGGGGAACGACACTAAACCCTGCCTAGGCTTCATATCCGAGTCACGGCACCATTATGTCGCTCCCCCTCTTCGTGGAGGAACGACACAGGACCCTGCGCTGTTCTTTCGTCTGCTCGGCCCTCCCCGGGTTTGCTGCTGGTTCTTCCCGGGTTGGCTACTATCCCTTCCACCTCCGTGGAAGGGCAGTTCCCCCTGGCCACATTCCCCACTTCCGCAGGGGAGCGGCACACCGCCGGCCGGCTCTTCTCGGGGGCTGCACAGGTGTTCCCCTTAGATGTTCCCCATAGATGTTCCCGGTGCATGCCGTCTCTTTCCTCCTTTATAGTCCTCCTCTGCCAATCCTAACTCGGCTGCCCACACGCCGAGTACGCTGCTCTCCAATCAGGAGCAAGTCCTACAGTTAATTGGTTGAACTGGAGGCAGCTGTGCAGAAGCTGTTTACTTCTCTCCCAGCGCCATATTGTGGGAGAGCAGATGCATAGAATAAGTCCTAATTCGAGTAACTTAGTCTAGTCCGGATTGCTCCCCACAGGAAAGACCTTCCATCTGCTGGTTCACTCCACAAGTGGGGATGGTGGGGGCTGTTAACCCTATCCAAGTTTTCCCCATGGATGGCAGGGGCTTAAGCACTGAGACCACCTTCCACTGCCTTCTCAGGTGCATCAGCAGGGAGTTGGATTGGAAGTGGAGCAGCTGGACTGGAACCAGTGATGCTGGTGTTGAAGTCTGCGGTTTAATATGCTGTACCGGAAGTCTCTTTAAGTAGACAATCATGGTTACGTGAGGTCATAAGGCTCTCATCCATTAGGACCTGCCGGGATCTGCCTTGTGGCCTAGACGGGTAACCACCTCCTGTGACGTCATGCCACTTTGAGTCCTGGCTGCTTCACTTCAGATCCGAAGATCACCCAAATAGTAGGTGACAGGGTTTGACAGTAGGACTCCATGCAGCAGGATGTACAGGAGGGCGCCGACTCCTTCCTGGGAAGGACCTCTGGAGCCTGGGCCCTGCTTCTCCCAGTCCCTCTGCCGACCCTCCTTCCAGGGGTCCTGCCCGCGCCTGCCCTCTGCGGACTCCACACCCCTAACACCCTCCCCACGACTCCGCCCCAGCGCTCAGCGCGCATCGGGTTCGTGGTGCCGTGCTGCCATCTGCTGGCAGAGGGATTGCTTGTTCACTACTCTCTGGCTTTTCACTTCATCTTAATGCCAGCAGGCAGGCCACTAATGGGATAGGCCCCTGGCCGATAAATGAGGAAAGAAGAAAATAGACACAGAGAACGGTCCTCTTGAGTTTGTGGAGAAAACTGCTTACGACAGGACAAAGATGTTTGATTCCCCAGAGGTGCGGGCCCCAGAGTCTGAGCAGTGGGCATGGCACCCCGGGGGGCTCAGACGCGGAGCAGTCGCCCTGCCGTCCTCCCTGGGTGTCCTGTGGGCAGCAGCTTCTGGAAAGCCCGCAGGGAAGAGGCGGGTCAGGAATAAGATGCCGCCCCGCACTCCGGGGAATGAGGAGGGTCTTGTGGGCTGGGCTCTGTCAGGCATCGCTCTGTAGGGACCTGTGTGGTCAACACCTCCTCGGCACTAGACACTGCGCAGTCGGAGGCTCAGGGAGGTCCGTCTCTCCACAGCTTAGTGTGGGTGTAACACGTAGGACTTCCGGGGCGTGGCTGATGCTCTCCAGTGACTCACCTGCCAGAGGGCGCGGAGATGACACTTAAGGTTGGGCGCTGGCCAGCTTTCTCCTCCCAACAGGAACTGTGGCCTTCGGGTCTTTCCGGGAGGTCACCGGGTGTCTGGCTTGTCTGGCTAAGAGGCTCGCAGCACAGGACGGATGCCGCCTTCTGCCCTCCCTGGTCGCCGGTGCACAGGGGAGAGAAGCAGACTGGCCCCTGGGAGCCTGGAGAAGCGGAGGGGAGGAGGAACTGCCGGGGAGAGGAGAGCGAAGGAGAGGGGCAGCTCACAGAAGAAGGGAAAAGCAAGCATCCGGAGCTGAGACAAAGGCCTCGGAGCCCGGGTCTGCAGTTTCCGGGCTGTGTGTCTTCAGGGAACGTTTTTTCAACCAGCAGGTGTGCGATGTGCAGTTGTGCCTACCTCGCAGGACTATTTTGAAGGTGAAATGAGACCCCTGGGCTTAGCATTCAGCTCACAGGCAACCCCGAGAAGTGTTTGTTAAACACGAAACCCCGAGAAGCAGAGGGCTGGTTGCTGGGCCCCTCCTCTCCTATTGTGACGACTGGCGTGCAGTAACGTGTTCTGGTGGCCGCTCGTCCGCACCCCCCACAACACTCATGACGGAAGGCTCTGTGTATGCCTGCCCCCGCCTTTCTGGAAGCCACGCGGGGGTCTTGCTCCCCACAGCGTTGCTCTTGGCAGCTGCGCTTGGCTTTATTCCTCTTGCTGTACCAGCATCGCAGGAGCAGAGCTGTGAGCGCCAGAGGGAAGCAGGCACTAATTAAGAGTCACAGGTTTTCAACTGGAAGGTGGTAATTTTGGTAATTTTGTTTCCTGGGAGAGAAGACGCACTTCTGAGGATCTGCAGCAGGACTGAGGAGCTTGGAGTATGAGTCAGGAATCTGGGCTATGGCCCGGGCATGGTCTCTACCTGTGTTATCTTGAGCCAGGCTCGCTCTTTCTTCAGTCTTGCAGTTTTCAACCATGAATTAAGGCTGTCTCTAAGTGGGATGGCCAACATTTTTTTTTTTAAGATTTATTTATTTATTTATTTGAAAGTCAGAGTTACACAGAGAGAGAAGGAGAGATATTGAGATCTTCCATCTGCTGGTTCACACTCCAGTTGGCCGCAACTGCCGGAGCTGTGCCTATCCAAAGTCAGGAGCCAGGAGCCAGAAGCTTCTTCCAGGTCTCCTATGTGGGTGCAGGGCCCAAGGACTTGGGCCATCTTCTACTGCTTTCCCAGGCCATAGCAGAGAGCTGGATTGGAAGAGGAGCAGCCAGGACTCAAACCAAGCCCATACAGGATGCCAGCACTGCAGGCTGTGGCTTTACCCGCTACACCACAGTGCCGGCCCCAGCCAACATTTCTTGTTTGCTGGAGACAAAAGGAGTTCCTGGAATGTGGAACCAGGGACATCATGGGCAAACAGGGACAAGTTGGTCACCCTGTCAGTTAGCCTTTTCTTCTCTAATACTCCATCTTTCAATCCCTGGCCTACCCAATTGTTCCTCTTGGGAGTGCTTTCAGTTGCAAGAAATAGACTACTCAACTAATGTTGGCTCTGGACAAAAGAGGATTTACTGTCTAGGAACAGGTGTCCCAGGAACAGGCAGACCCTGTGCTGATCCATTGTCTCAGCAGCAGCAGCAAGGACCTGGGCTCCACTGTCATCTTCAGCATCTTGGCTTTTATCCACGCGACTGACACCTGAGGTCACAGCACAGGTGCTGCAACTCCAGGAGTTAAGCCAAGCGCCTCTGTTCCTTGTGTCAGGAAAGCAAAAAGATTTCCCAGAAACTCCCCAGCAGAGGTCTCTTCTGATTTTGCTGTCCAGAACTCAGTCATGTGTCCAGTTCTCACTGCCATACAAGCTTTCTAACCTCCATAAATGGGGGGCAGCAAGGGAGAACCTGCAGGGGCCAGCATTGTGGCATGGTGGGTTAAGGTCCCCCTGTGATGCTGGCATCCCCTATGCATGCTGGTTCGAGTCCTGGGTGCTCCACTTCCAATCCAGCTCCTTGCTAATGCACCTAGGAAGGTTGCAGAAGATGGTCCAAGTCCTAGGCTCCCTGACACCCATGTGGGAAACCCTGATGGAGTTCTAGGCTCCCAGCTTTGGCCCAGCCCAGCCCAGGCCATTGCAGCTATTTGGCAAGAGGACCTGCAGATGGAAGATATCTGTCTTTCCTTCTCTCTCTGTAACTCTGCCTTGCAAATAAATATTTTTTTTTAAAAAAGAGGCAGGGGGAGAACCCACCATGATTGCATATCTTACTTTGTGTTGCCTTTCTGAGAACAAGGGTGGCAAACGAATTAGTAACTTTTGATAAAGAGAAAGAAAAGCATCATGAAAAAATTTAGGCCTTCCTGTTGGAGGTCAGATAGGGGTGAGTGTAGCAGGAAGACCCTGGACACCATGCAGCTCGGAGCCCTGAGATCTGGAGCGCTGAAGAAAGAGAGGTGTGGGAAGACCTGGAAGAGAGCAGTGTGTATGCCTGGAGTTGCTGTCCTCCAAACTCGAAGATGCATCTAGGGCAAGCCCCCAGCTGTTCAGCCACGCATGTCTGGGCTCTGACTACGCATTGATTCCCCTGGAGCTCCAGGAACCCTGTCAGTGATGTCATCTGGAACCCCCGGTACCCAGACTTGTGCATGGCACAGGTGTTGCCAAGTCCTGTGAACCCCTCCTCCCAGGGGCTCACTTACTTCCTGGCCCCACTGCAGTGGCCATGTAGGTTCTTTTCATTCCTGAACAGCTGTGGAATCTCAAGAAAAGAAGACTTCATCTTCTTCACAACCAGGATAGCCAGAGACTGAACTGTTTCCTTTTTTAAAAATTTTCTTATTTACTTTCATTTTATTTGAGAGAAAGAATTTTACATCTACTGGTTCACTCCCTAAATGCCTGCAGCAGCTTGGGCTGAGCCAGTCTGAAGCCAGGAGCCTGGAATTGAATCTGCGTCTCCCACGTGGGTGGCAGGGACCCCAATACTTAAGCCATCACAGGCTGCTTCCCAGGGTGTGCATTAGCAGGAAGCTGGATCTGGAGGAGCCGGGACTTGAACCAGGTCCTCTGAAATGGGATGTGGATGTCCCAAGCAGTGACTTAACCACTGTGCAAAATGCCTGGCACTGCAATATTTCATTTTTAAGCTGGGAAAGACATTTGTCCTTGTCCAAAACTTAAGGACAAAGCAGCAGGGTTCAGAGATGACCAGCTATGGGTTTCACAATGTCAGAGCTGAGATTCCAACCCAACTTGGTCTGACCCTAGAGGCCTTACTTTCCTATAGTCTGACTTTTAAATGATTTTTCTAGACTTGGTACCTATCTAACATCCTATAGGCACTCAATATATGCTAACTTCTTTCGCTAAATCCTTTCCATCTCCTGGTTTCTGAAGTACTCAACTTTTTACATGAAAATCTCTATCCCAACACTTTCCAGAATAGCGCTTAGCACAAAGTCATACATCTTTCTGCAATGACTGTTACATAGAGGTGACTCTTATTTCCCACACTTTCTAGATGTTTGCACTGATAGAGAAAATGGATCTGTCTACACAGTATATGTGTCTGTTACCCTTAGAGATTATTTGACTTAGTTCTCTGTTTTTGTAAGTGAGAGACCTCAGAGAGATGAAATGATATGTCTAAAGCTCAAATAGTTTAGTTGGCAAGCACTTCTCTATCCTACCGCACGAAGCAGGTGTAGCCAGATCAATTGTTCCCACCCTGGAGGGAGACAGGAAGGGGGCAACCAGACCTGGATGCTTTCCGGTCAGACTGTGGCATCTACTGGTGAATACTGGCTCACCGGCAGAGGGCTTCGCCTCACTCTCAAAGCGTGAAGAAACCCAACTTTCCTCGGAAGGAAAATATGAGGTTGAATCTCTGGTTAGGTCCCAGATTCATCTGCTAGAAAGCGAAGGTAATCAAAGTGCTTCCTGCGCCGTTGCTGTGAGGAGTCAATGAGGGGCTCCATGCGTTGACGGTAGTGCAGGCCCTGTGATGGTTACTACCCGTTCTGATTGTGGTGTGCTTAAGTAGAGTGTTACACGGTATGACTTAGGCACGTGTTCCTTCTCTTTGCTCTGGGAGGGGCCCTGCAGCTGCAGAAGCTTGCTGGTGTCTGAGGTTGGGCTTGGCCCCGCTCCTCTGTCTCTCCTCATGCACCATTCTGCCCGTTTCTCTCCTCCCAGCGCTTCCAACGCTTTCCATTTGGCCCAGATGAGTAGCTTGCTGGTGTTGGGAGGGGCTGGGCTGCCGAAATGTCCTGACACTCTGCTGTTTAAGCGATGACCCCTCATTTCTGCTGGGCAGAGGCTGGCTTGTCAGCAGCTGGTAGTTAACAGAGCCTGGAGCTGAGCTGCCTATCACGTGGTGCTTTTCTGTTGTGCTGGACCTAGCTGAAGCTGGAAAACCAGTTTTTATTTCTGATCTTTGGTTATTTGAAAGGCAGAGAAACAACGACAGAGAGATCTGCCGTCAGCTGGTTCATTCCCTAAATGTCCGCAGTGGCCAAGGCTGGGTCAAGTGAAAGCTAGGAATGGAAATTTAGTTCAAGTCTCTCATGTGGTTGGCGGGGACCTAACTCCTTGGATCCACACCTGCTGCCTCCCAGGATGCACAGTAGCAAGAAGCTGGGGTTGGAGCAGAGCTTGGATTTGAACCCAGGCACTCTGATATGGGTTGCAGATGTCACAAGCAGCATCCCAACCCCTGAGCCAGACGCTCAAAGGGAACAGCTCTCTTCATTTATCCCTGCCAGTTACAGAGATATCCACTCCGATTACTTTCTTCTGTGTCTCGTTAGAACTGTTTTGTGGATACAGAGAAATAGCTATTTTAGACACACACACACACACACACACACACTGGTTTATTGAAAGGGCTGAACTTGAAGCAAGAATCTGCCGCTTTTTGTCTTACCCCTGTGATTGCTGTCTATTATGTTACACAGAATCCCTCTGACTTGTCCCTGAGGACTGGCTTGAGCAGACAAAATAGCTTTCTGGTCTCTTCCAGACATTGAAAAAAATAGTTCAGTCCGGTTCAATTTAAAGCTTGACTCTCACATCCAGTTCAAAGCTCCTCTTATCCCCAAATCTTAGCCCTGACCTGTGGCTCAGAAACCTGCTGTGGGAAGGAGAGTACTCATTCTCTCTCTGCTCCCCCTAGGGGCAGAGTTAGCTGGATAGGTTCTGTTTATTTAGCGACTCTGGCTTTCTCTTGGCTCCTGCGGTTGACCCAGCCCGCCTCAAGTGTGACAGCAAGTTCTTGGGGAGGGGGTGGGTTCTGTCCCATCTCCTTTCTGCTAATTCCTGCCAGCAGGCAGTTTTTTAGGTGGAATCTCATCAAATAGCTCCAGTATGGCTACTTGCTGCAGCATCCAGTTTGCACTTGGGAGATTCAGATATTCTGGCCCTATCATGTAGCCACGCTCGTGGCCCAGTTGTCAATCCCCCTCTTCTGGCCTCTGTTGAGTCCTGCTCCAGCCAGTGGTGAACAGGCAGCCATTGTCTCTGCCCAGCGCT